TAGGATTATTTGTTTTTTCTTTTTCCTCTTTATTTCTTTCTTTTCTTTTGTTAAAATCCAAGTTAGTTAACATATAGTGTAATAATAATTTCAGAATAAAATTTGTCGATTCATCACTTACATATAAGTGTGCTCATCCAAACAAGTGTCCTCCTTAATGCCGCTCACCCCTTTAGCCCATCCCCCCACCCAACACCAGCCAGCAACTCTCGGTTTGTTCTCTGTTCTCATATGGTTTGCCTCCCTCTCTGTTTTTATATTATTTTTGCTTCCTTCTCCCTTCCTTTATGTTCATCTGTTTTGTATCTTAAATTCTACATGAATGAAATCATGTGGTATTTACCTTTCTCTAGCTGACTTATTTAGCTTAGTATAATACATTCTAGTTCCATCCATGTTGCTGCAAATGGCAAGATTTCATTCTTTTTGGTGGCTGAGTAATATTCCTGTATATATACACACACATATACATATATATAAATACATTTACCTATATATATTTATTATGTATATTTATATCTATATTACAACTTATTTTTCCATTCGTCAGTCAGTAGACATTGGGCTCTTTCCATAGTTTGGCTATTGCCAATAGCACTGCTATAAACATTGGGGTACATGTGCTTCTTTAAAACGGGACTCCTGTATCCTTTGGATAAATACCTAGTAGTGCAACTGATGGGTTGTAGGGAAGTTCTATTTTAATTTTTAATTTTTAATTTTTAATTTTTAATTTTTAATTTTTTGAGGAACCTCTATAGGTTTTCCAGAATAGCTGCACCAGTTTGCATTCCCACCAGCAGTGCAAAAGAGATCCTCTTTCTTCATATCCTCGCCAACATCTGTCGTTTCCTGAGTTATTAATGTTAGTCATTCTGACAGGTGTGAGGTGGTATCTCATTGTGGTTTTGATTTGTATTTCCCTGATGATGAGTGAGGTTGAGCATTTTCAGTGTCTGTTCTGGGTATCTTCTTGGGGAAAGTGTGTATTTATGTCTTCTGCCCATTTCTTCACTAGATTATTTGTTTTTTGGGTGTTGAGTTTGATAAGTTCGTTATAGATTTTGGATACTAACCCTTTACCTGATATGTCATTTGCAAATATCTTCTTCCATTCTGTCAGTTGCCTTTTAGTTTTGCTGATTGTTCTTTCACTGTGCAGAAACTTTTTATCTTGATGAGGTCCCAGTAGTTCATTTTTGCTTTTGCTTCCCTTGTCTCCGGAGACATGTCAAGTAAGAAGTTGCTGTGGCTGAGGTCAAAGAGGTTGTTGTCTGTTTTATCCTCTAGGATTTGGATGGCTTCCTGTCTTACATTTAGATCTTTCATCAATCTAATAGTTATAATTGTTAGTTATCTAACAACAATAGTTATAATCTATAGTTATAATTGTAGATCTTGGTAGATAGACCCCTTAAATATGATATAATGCCCTTCTTCATCTCTTGTTACAGTATTTTTTTCTTTTTTAAATATTTATTTATTTTTGGGAGAGTACAAGCAGGGGAGGGGCAGAGAGAGGGGGAGAGAGGATCTGAAGTGGGCTCTGTGCTGACAGGCTGAAAGCAGTGAGCCCAATGTGGGGCTGGAACTCATGAACCATGAGATCATGACCTGAGCTGAAGTCTGATGCTCAACTGACTGAACCATCCATGTTCTCCTCTTGTTACAGTATTTATTTTAAAAAATAGATTGTGTGATACAAGTATGGCTACACCAACTTTCTTTTGATGACCATTAACATGACAGATTGTTCTCCATCCCTTTACTTTCAATGTACAGGTGTGTTTAGGTCTAAAATGAGTCTCTTGTAAGCAACATATAGGTGGGTCTTGTTTTCTTATCCATTCTAATACCCTATGTCTCTTGATTGGAGCATTTAGTCCATTGACATTTAGAGTGAGTACTAAAAGATATGAATTTAGCGCCATTGTGTTGCCTGTTGCATTGCTGTTTCTGATGATGCTCTCTGGTCCTTTGTAGTCTTTGTTGCTTTTGGTCTTTTCGTTTTGCTTTGTCTTTTCTCAACTCAAAGGATTCCCCCTTAAAATTACTTGTAGTGCTGGTTTAGTGGTCAGGAATTCCTTTAGTCTTTGTTTGTCTGGGAAACTTTAACTCTCCTTCTTTTTAAAATGACAGCCTTGCTAGATAAAGAATTCTTTGTGGCGTATGTTTCCCGTTTAGCATGTTGAGCATATCCTGCCATTCCTTTCTGTCCTGCCAATTTTCTGTGGATAGGTCTGCTGCAAACCTAGTCTGTCTTCCCTTATAGGTTAAGGATTTTTTTCCTTGAAGCTTTTGTAATTCTTTCCTTGTCTGCATATTTTGTGAATTTGACTATGATATGCCTGTTGGTAATTGAGTTTTGTTGAATATAATGGGAGTTCTCTATGCTTCTTGGATTTGAAAGTCTGTGTCCTTCCCCAGATTAGGAAAGTTTTCCACTATAATTTGCTCACATAAACCTTCTTCCCTTTTTCTCTCTCTTCATCTTCTGGGACTCCTATGATTCATATGCTATTCCTTTTTATAAGTCAATTAGTTCTCTAAGTCTTGTATCATGATCTTTTGCCTTTGTTTTCCTCTTTTTTTTCTGTTTCATTATTTTCCATAATTTTATCTTCTAAATTGCTGATTCGCTTTTCTGCTTCATCCATCCTTGCTGTCATGGCATCCATTCAACATTGCATTTAGGTTATAGCATTTTTAATTTCATCCTGACTAGATTTTATTTCCTTAATCCTTTTTTCAACCCCAGTTAGTATTCTTATTATCATGGTTCTAAATGCTAGTGCAGGCATCTTGCTTATGTCTGTGTTGATTAAGCCCCAGGCTTTCACTTCTTCCTGTTTTCTCTTTTGGGGTGAATTCCTTCATTTTTCATTTTGTAGGCAGAAAAAATAATAAAGAATAAAAATTAAAAAAATTAAAAACAAAACAAAAAATCAAATAAAGGAAGCTAGATCCTAGGTGTGTTTTGGTCAGCTTGTTGAAAGGAGTTTGACAGAGAAAAAGGAGGGGGGGAAGGGAAAAAAACGGTAAGAAAAATTTTAAAATTAAAAAAATATATATGTAATAAAATAGAATATAATGAAATAAAATTAAGTAGAATTAAAAATTTTTAAAATAAAAAATAAAGTAAAAACATAAAAACAAATTTTTCTCTTTCTGTATCCAAGAATGAGGGAGAAAAGAAAGAAAGAAAAAAAAACAGTTTAAACAAAAACAGAAGTGAAGAAGATGAACTAATAAGTGAACCAGCAAACAATGAAACCTGAATGAAGTTATATCCGGCTTCCCCTTGAACTGAAACTGTGAAGCTTTCTATAGCTTGGACACTAAGCAGGTGGGGTGACTTGTGTTGATCTTATAGGGGATGTGCTTGTTGGGTGCAGTTGGGCAGGGCTTGGTGTGATGGCTCCATTCTCCACTAGGTGACACTACTTATCTTACTGGGGTGGATCAGTGTGGTGCTCATGAGAGGTGGAAATGACTTCACCTAGCTTCTGAGTCTTTGTCATAGGAAACTTGCACTCTCCCCGACCCATGATCAAGCACTCCTCCTTTGTCTCAGGCCTCTATTCACTCACCACCTCTACCATGTCCATGTCCAAGCTGTCCACCTGCCGGGCAGCACCTCCCTCCAGAGTTTTATCTCAGATGGATTGTGTTTCACAGCCCAGACTCTCTGGAGAAGGGTCTCACAGAGCAATGGCTGGGTGCCAGCTTGCCCCAGAAAATGTTCATGCAATCACATAGTGGCAGAGGTTCAGAGGTTATGGCAAACCACAACACACAACACAAGCAGAGCCAGGTTTCACCACTCTCTGGCATCTTCGTCCCAATAACAGTAAATATGGCTGCTCTCTGGGGTCCACTGGGACCTTTGCCTGTGGGGAAGCCTATGACCCCTACCAAATGCACTCCAAGAAGGGGAACCACTTCTCCCCTTGTCACATGGACCCCTGAGACCCTGCTGTCTGCTTCTGGGGATTCACCCTACTTCCTCACCAGAGCACCGCCAGTCACTAGGCTCTGAAATTTCAGACTGTGCACTCCACTGTTTATAGAATCTTGGTGGTATTGAAACCCTCTCCTTTCTTCCAGTCAGTGGTTTGAGAAACAGATTTCTTGTTCTGTCCCCTGAAAGTTTTTTCACTTTTTCTCTCTCTTTCTCTCTAGCTACTTTGTCGGGGAGGGGTGCTTTTCTTTCATGATCCCTCTACACTGCAATCTCACCCTTTCTCTTTCTCTGTCTTCTCTCTGCAAAAACAGCTCCCTGCCTACTGTGACTTTTCTCTCCCCCAGTTCACCTCTCCGCACCATGTACCTGCTGAGTTCTGTGACTTAAGTTATGGCAGATTGTTGTGTTAATCCTCAGGTCAGTTTCCTAGGTGTTCAAAATTGTTTGGTGCTGATCTAGCTGTGTTTCAGGAACTAGACAAACTCGAGGTCTCCATGCCTCTCTGCCATCTTAACTCAACTCTCCCGAATGTCAGGATTTTTATTCTAATTGTGTGAAAAATACTGTTGGTATTTTGATAGAAATTGCATTAAATCTGTAGATTGCTTTGGGTAGTATGGACATTTGGTTCTTCCAGTCCATAAGCATGGAATATCTTTCTATTTGTTTTTGTAATCTTCAGTTTCTTTTTATCAATGCTTTATAGTTTTTAGAATACAAGTCTTTCACCTTCTTGCTTAAGTTTATTCCTAGATATTTTATTATTTTTGGTATAGTTACAAATGAGATCTTTTCTTAATTTCTCCTGATGCTTTATTAATAGTGTGTAGAAATGCAACATTTCTGTAGACTGATTTTTGTATCCTGCAACATTACAGAGTTCATTTGATCAGCTCTAGCAGTTGTTTTTTTCTTGCAATGTTTAAGTGTTTTCTACAAATAGTATCATGTTATTTGCAAATAGTGAAATTTTATTCTTCTTTTACCCATTTGGATGCTTTTTATTCATTTTTTTATGTCTGATTTCTGTGACTAGGACTTCAGGACTATGGTGAATAAAAGTCATGAGAGTGGACATCCTTGTCCTGTTCCTGATCTTAGAGGGAAAGCTCTCAGTTTTTTCTCATTGAGTATGATGTTATCTGTGGGTTTTTCATATATGGCCTTCATTATGTTGAGGTATGTTTCTTGTAAACCTACTTTGTTGAGGGTTTTTTTTTATCATGAATGAATGTCCTTTATCAAAAGATTTTTCTGCACCTTATGAAATGATCATATGCCTTTTATGCTTTTTCTTATTGATGTGAACTATCACCGTGATTGATTTACAAATATTGAACCACCCTGTCTGGCATCTTAAGAGCAAATCTCATTTTATTGTGGTGAAGTTTTTAAAAAATTTTTAGTGTTTATTTTTGAGAGAGACATAGCATTAGTGGGGGAGGGGCAGAGAGCGAGGGAGACACAGATTCTGAAGCAGGCTCAAGGCTCTGAGCTTTCAGCACAGAGGCCAATGTGGGGCTCGAATCCACAAACCACAGGATCATGACTTGAGCCGGAGTCAGATGCTTAACTGACTGAACCACACAGGTGCCTTGATGATTTTTAATGTAATGTTGGATTTGGTTTGCTAATATTTTTTTGAGGATTTTTACATCTATGTTCATGAGAGATATTGGCCCATTTTTCTCTCTCTCTCTTTTTTTTTTTTTTTTTTTGTAATGTTATTAACCAGTTTGAGTATCAAGGAATGCAGGCCTCATAGAATAAATTTGGAAGTTTTACTTCTTATATTGTTGTTTTGGAATAGTTTGAAAATATGTTTTAATTCCTCTCTAAGTGTTTGTTAGAATTTACTTGTGAAGCCATCTGCTCTTGGACTTTTCTTTGTTGTGAGGTTTTTGATTACTGATGCAACCTTATTGGACAGAATGTTCACATTTTGTATTTCTTCCTGGTTCAGTTTTGGAAGGTTGTGTTTCTAGTAATTTATCCATTTCTTCTAGGTTGTTCAATTTGTTAGCATATAATTTTTCATAGTACTATCTTATAATCTTTTATATTTCTGCTGTGTCAGTTGTTTTTTCTCTTCTTTCACTTCTGCTTTTGTATATTTTACCCTTTTACTTTTTTTTTTTTTTTTGACAAGTCTGGCTAAAGGTTTATCAATTTTATTGATCTTTTCAATGAGCCAGCTCCTGGTTTCATTGATCTTTGTTTGTTCTTTTTTTTTATAGTTCTTTATGTGTAAGTTTAGCTTAGTTTTTTGAAATTTTTCTTGCTTCTTGATGTAGGCTGTATTGCTATAAACTTTCCTCTTAGAACCACTTTTTTTCTGCATCCCCAAAATACTGGACTATTGTGTGTTCATTTTCATTTATCTCCATGTATTAGTTTATTTCTTTATTTTGAGACAGAGAGCCAGGGAGGGGCAGGGAGAGAGAGAGAGAGAGAGAGAGAGAGAGAGAGAGAGAACAAGAGAGAGAATCACAAGCAGGCTCTGCACTGTCAGCACAGAGCCTGATGCAGGGCTTGAACTCATGAAACATGATATCATGACCTGAGCCAAAACCAAGAGTCAGACGCTTAACCAGCCGTGCCATATAGGTGCCCCTATCTCCATGTATTTTTTTGATTTCCTCTTTTGTGATTGACCCATTTATTGTTTAGTAGCATGTTATCTAACTTCCATGTATTTGTGCTGTTTCCAGATTTTTTCTTGTGATTGATTTCTAGTTTCATAGCATTGTGGTCAGAAAATATGCATAGGATGGTTTCATTATTTTTGAACTTGTTGAGACTTGTTGAGACTTGTGGCCCAACATGTGATCTTTTGTAGACAATGTTCCATGTGCACTTGTAAAGAATGTATATTCTGCTGTTTTAGGATGGAATGTTCTGAATAGATCTGTTAAATCCATCTGATCCAATATGTCATTCAAAGCCACTACTTCCTTATTGATTTTCTGTTTGGATGATCTGTCTGTTGATATATAAGCAGGATGATAAATTCCTCTACTATTACTGTATTACTATTGATTACTTTCTTTATGTTTGTTACTAACACCTATAAGTATTTAGGTATTTAAGCCACCACGTTGAGTGTTTAAGTTTTCACAATTGTTGCGTCTTCTTGTTGGATTGTCCTCTTTATGATTATATTACATCCTTCCTTGTCTGTTGTTAAGTATGTTTTGTCCAATATAAGTGGTGCTACCCCAGATTTCTTTTTACATACATTTGCATGATAAATGCTTCTCCATTCCTTCACTTTCAATCTTCATGTGACTTTAGGTTTGAAATGAGTCTCTTGTAGGTAACATATAGGTGGGTCTTGCCTTTTTTTAAGTCCATTTTGTCACCCTATGTCTTTTGATTGGGATGTTTAGTCCATTTACATGCAAAGTAATTGTTGATAGTTATGAACTTATTGTCATTTTGTCACTTGTTTTATAGTTTCTTTTGTAGTTTTTCTTTGATCTTTATGTTTCTCTCCTTTCTTATCAACAATTGGCTTTCTATAGTGACATATTTAGACTCCTTTTTCTTTATATTTGCATATATATTATTGGTTGTTGATTTGTGGCTACAATTAGGTTTGTATATAACATCTTCTGTATATAGGCATCTATATTAAGTTGATGGTCACTTAAGTTTGAACCTGTTTTTTATTCCTCTCCTTTCCATGTTTTAGGTATATGGTATCATACTTTGCATTCTTTTATTTTGAGAGTCCCTTGACTGATTTTACAGATATACGTGCTTGTACTACTTTGTGCCTCCTTCTTTCATTACTATTGTTTAAAGTCTTTCAACTCAAGTAGTCCACTTTAACATATCTGTAGGTCTAGTTTAGTGATCATGAATTCCTTTAACTTTTGTTTGTCTGGGACTCTTTATCTCTCCTTCTAGTTTGAATCAATAGAGTATTTGCTGGATAGGATATTCTTTGCTGCTATGTTTTTTTTCTTTCATCACTTTGAATATATCATGCCATTTCCTTCTGGCCTGCAAAATTTCTGCTGAAAAATCTGGTCATAGCCTTATGAGATTTCCCTTATATGTAACTGCTTTCTTTTCTCTTGCTGCTTTTAAAATTCTGTTGCTATCACTACTTTTCACATCTTATTACTAGGCGTTTTGGTGTGAACCTCCTCTGCTTGATTTTGTTGGGGGATCTCTGTCTCCTGGATCTGGATTTTTGTTTCCTTCCCCAGATTCAGGAAATCTTCAGCTATTATTTCATCAAATAAATTTTCTGCCCCCTTTTCTTTCTTCTCCATCTGGGATCCCTACAATGTAAATGTTATTACACTTCATGGTGTTGCTGCTTTCCCTAAGTGGAGTCACATTTTTCATATTTTTTTTCTCTCACCTCCTCAGATTGATTTCTTTCCATTGCTCATCCTCCAGGTCACTGATTTTTTTTCTTCTACTTCATCCAGTCTACTACTTATTCCATGTAGTATATTTTTATTTATTGTGTTCTTCGTCTCTGATTGGTTTTTCTTTATTTTATTATTAAGGATATTACTAATGACCTCCACTTTTTTGTCAAGTCCAGTGTCTTTATCACCATTACTTTAAATTCTCTATCAGGCATATTACTTACCTCCATTTCACTTATGTCTTTGCTGTGATTTTGTATTATTCTTTCATTTGGGACATATTTCTATGTCTCATCTTGTGTAACTCTATAGGTCTCTTTCTATGTGGTAGGAAAGACATCTCCTGCACTTAAAAGTAGTGGTCATATGACAAAAGGAGCCTATAGTGCCCTGTAGTACACCGTACCCTGGTCATCAGAACCTGGCCCTTCAGGGGTGCCTCCTATGTGTGGTCCATGTGCCCTGGTATTATGGCTGACCTGCTTTTTCCCTCAGTCCAGTCATCTTCAATGGCTCTCTTTGCCTTTTGTGGTAGGATTTGTTCCCTGTGATGTTAACTGGTCAGTCTAGGGTAACTTGGGCTTGAGTTGAGTCAGACCAGGTATTTGCCAGAAATGCAGTAGCACTAAACTGCAGAAAACTTTCCCTGTGTTTTCCCCTGAGTAGCTTTCCTTAGTGGGAAGGACCTGTAGTCATACCAGTTGTCTGTCCCCAGCCCACTGCTGATGGAGCAGTTGGACTGGTATGTGTGGTTATCCTTCCCTCTCTCCAGGACAAGAGTCACTTTGGAGTGGATATGAACCCTGTAGGGTCTCCTTGCACACTGCCAGGCCTATGGCATGGACCAGTATGGACTCTTGGTCAATAGTATATTAGAGAAGCAGAGCTGGGGGAATTGATGGGTATGGTGCAGTGTGGTGGTATGCTAGCAAGATTTGTACCATGGTTCCTCTGCCAGAGGGGCCCTGCAGTGCCTGAACTGAGACAGGTTGTCCAAAGGGGTGTACTGGCAAAAGCACAGCATGGACAGCAGAGGGGCAGTGCTAGCAAGTTAGGTATTCAGTCCCACAGATGGCCCTGTGTTTAAGCTGGGGGGCAGGAGGACTATGAAAGAGGGAAATGGTGCTTCTCAGTTCCTTTTTCCTGGAGGAGTTACCCAGCAATTTCTTTCCAAATGGGCAACTCTGAGATTAGTAAATAACTCTCCCTCCCATATGCCCCAGGTGCCTTTCAAATTGCTGCCCCTATGATGTATCTCCACTGGCTGTTTGTTGTGCTATCTCTTTAAAGAAAGGGACTCAGTTTCCTCTGACTCTCCCAGAGAAGAGCCCATTGATTTTTTTTTAATTATAGATTTTAAGTCCTGCTGGTTGTTACAACTCATGAAATTCAGCCCCTTTGTCCTCTTCAGATCCATTCTTTTGTTTTTCTTTTCTTATCTATTATTTATTCCATCTAGCACATTTTTAATTTCAGTCACTTAGTTTTTATATGTGATTTGTTTTCTTTCTTTTTTTTTATATTTTCTATCTCTTTGTTAAGGGTCTCACTAAGGTTCTCCACTCTTTTCTCAAGTCCAGTGAGGATCTTTATATCCATTGTGTTAAGTTATTTATCAGGCATATTACTTATCTCCATTTCATTTGTGTCTTTTCTGTGGTTTGTCCTGTTCTTTCATTTGGGACGTATTTTTGTGTCTCCTCATTTTGTGTAATTCTATGTATCTGTTTCTATGTGGTAATAAAGACTTCTACATCTCCTGCACTTGA